CCGTCATGGAGAAAATATTCTGTTTGATTCTCTAACTGGTGAATGTGTGCATGTAGATTTCAACTGTCTGTTTAATAAGGTGAGCAGCTAAATATTGAATGTAAAATATTTTTTATGCCGAAGTATGTTGGCAAAACAATTACATCTGAATGTAATAGTCTTCAAATTTTTTCAAGCAAGTTTAACTTTCAGTCTTTGCAAACAATATTTCCAATATAAAAAAATGTTCTTTTAACTTCCAGGGACAAAACATATCAATACACAGTCATTTTATTTATTTAAAACTATCTAAATTGTGTAGAAAGCCGCCCAAAGGGGTGTACTTCAATGGGAACAATGTTTTGTCTGGAACCCAGAACAAAATCAACATGTTTTGGAATCTGGAAAATTACCAAATCATTCTAAACCACCCATATTTAGCAGAAGAAAAAGCTAGAAATCTTAGCTTCTTTAGGTTCTCAATAAAACAAACTGGATGAGGCGAGTAGACCAACACTGTAATGAAATCTCTCTCCCATCTCCCTCTCACCAGCTTCTAGAACTGTTTATCCAACCCCATCTCCCTTCCAGCATTTTCCCTTCTCCCTCCCTCCCTTGAGAGGCTAACACCAATGCTTGAAGTGAGCTTTATCCCATGCCTAATCATTTATTTTTCTAGCATTTCCCCATCTTTCTCTTCATCTCTGTTGCTGAAGTCCCAAAATATTATATTCAGTTGGACTACCTTAACTCTCTCAAATCCCAGGATTCTACAACACCACATCATATCACATCAGGCTGCTCACCCCTAATTTTCATTGCTTCATTCACCTGCCGATTTCTCAAAACAATTTACTCCTGTGTCCCTCAATGTTCCCAGCATTCTTTTCCTTCCCTATCGCTCTCCAACTTTCAATGTCCTCTGATTCCTCCCCCCATAATCACCAAATCACTTTTGCATGGATCAGATCTACCCTACTTAGTTCCATCAGACCCAAACACCTAAAACATTTGTTTTTATGTAGCCATAACCATTTAAAAAAGCTGTTCCATGCATGGAATATTTTCAATATCCAGTAATAAAAATCACAAATATGGCTTTTGTTTTTACATTTATATTACATTTAACACAAAAACATAATCAGCCAGTCTGTACAAACACCGAAGTAATTTTGAAAGGCGTGAAATAAACTCTACTAACATTATAATAGTATAACTTAAATATTTTTTGTATAATTGCATAATACAAGTGATATAAGAATCTATTGCATTCCATTTTGAGAGAAGCATGTGTTACTGAACTTATTCCTCTTATATTCATTTAAAGGGAGAAACTTTTGATTTTCCGGAAATTGTTCCATTTCGCCTTACTCATAACATGGTCAATGCGATGGGTCCAATGGGCACAGAAGGGCTCTTCAGGAGAGCTTGTGAAGTTACCTTAAGACTTATGCGTAACCAGAGAGAACCACTCATGAGGTAAAGAAAGAGTGGTCTTCCAACAGGATGGGGGAATGCACATAAAATTATTACCCCTAATTATTTCAACTTCAAATTTTCATTATTGTCATGCTACATTGCATAAATGATGATAATATCCATTTAGTTGTGTCCTGCTCTTGGGAGATTTTATGAGTCAGGTCTCTCATCTTCTGATCTTGCACTTTTGAGTTTTTCTATGCTCTGGCTGGCGTCAGCTTTGATGGTGACCAGCCACCATATTCTTTGATAGCCTGGTTTCCTTTTATACATTGCATAAATAAGCCTTGTAATATTCAATGGGTAGTACTGCTTACATATTTTTTTTCTTTTTCTCTGCTTCTGGGACTCAGAGATCAGACCAAACAGGATAGTCATGCAATTATAAAAAAATGTGCTAATAAGAAAGAGCTACAAAGAATTATTTTGTGATTATCTCTTCTGGATTTGTTCATGGTACTTCCCAAATAAGAATTAGAAAATGGTTTGCAGTGGGAAAACCAAAGTAGATAAAAGTCTAGTCACAGGCTTTCAGCTCAGAATCAATGCACTTACTAACTTTTTAAGGCTCTTATAGAAATCTAAAAATAATGTTATATAGACCACAATGTGAAACCACAATTGCCAGTTTTTTAACTGGTATTGGCCTTCATATGCATNTAAAGGAACATTACCAGATGTTTTTATTCATCAGTCATTTGGCTTAATTATGTAAAATTTCAGTTTATTATACACCTGTACGATAGGTTCAGATAGGCTTCATCTAAAGACTATTAGGGATAATAGTGTTCAAGGACCAATATGGCAGAGTCGGAAAAGAGGGCTGATGGCTGAAAATTGTGCCCACTTCCCATTGATAGATACCTGCTTTCAGCTGCAGGACACTAGTTAGATATCATTTATTTTTAAAAGATAGGAACACTCAAAATATTTTCAGTAGATTTATGCAAATATAGCATTACATTATTATATCCAGTATTATAATAATGTTGCATTTTGTTCTGGGATTGAAATTACATCCTAAATTTTATAATGATGAGTTTGGAAAAACAGTATGGACGTTAAAGTTATACAAGGTAATTATATGCTTGAATGTTTGCATTTGATTACTTTTTAAACTTTTTTTTTTAAGGTCGATGGAAACACCTCCACTTTAAGTATGGCTATTCATTTCAAAAACCTCAAGAGGCTGGTAGAAGACCAAACATTCAGTCAGATTCTTATTCCTTTGCAATCTGTAATGATACCAACTCTTCCTTCAGTTCCTGGAACACATTCCAATCATGATCCATTTCCTGGATGTTGGGCTTACATTGAAAGTTTTGACGATACTGTTAGTATCTATTAATCCTTATTTGTTTGTTTGCTTGTTCAAGTTATATAATTGTTACAGTAATAAGATGGCAGCATATAAATTTAATAATATTTAGCCACCTATGTCAGAAATATGACTCTGGGTGGCTCACAACAATTAACATCAAGAAAAATAAACAAATGGAAATAAAAAGGACAAGGATACAAAACCATGTTAAAATCATATTGAAACACAAAAACATAGCCACAATCCACATCAGAGTACAATCACATTTAGTTCTACAGCCGGAACGCCAAATGTGGAAACAAAGCTACATTTTCCATAATGCCTGTAGTATTCAGGTGTTCAGCTCGATTGGGATCATGCTCCAAAGGGAGGACATCACAATAGAAAAGGCTCCAAAACTTATTTACATGTTTATAACTTAGCCTAAATTTATTTTCTGAATTAAAGACTTTTTCTCTTGGTAGCCAAAGTAAAATGGGGAAAGGAAATCAAGTCTTTAAATGAAATTATTTCTTAGCATTATGCCACGTCTTTTCTTCAGGGCCTCAAGGCAGCAGACAGGTAGTCCTTGACTCTTGACCACAATTGGGACCAAAATTTCAGTTGCTAAGTAATTAAACAAGTCATTGCATGAATGGACCTGATTTTATCATTTTTTAACTAGTTATTTAGTGAATCCAGCTCTCTCCTCCCCCACCCCCCCGGGCTTTGCTTATCAGAAGCTTTTTGGAAAATTGCAAATCATGATGACCGCAAGATCCTGAAATTGTCATAAATGTGAGCCTATTGCCAAATGCCTAAATTGTCATCACATGATCCCAGGGATGATGTCATGGTAGTAATCTTGAGAACAGGTCAATTTTTTTTATCACCATTGTAACTTTGAACCATTGTTAAATGAACAGTTTTAAATCAAAGACTATATTTTCCTCACAGTAGCAACATGTCTGTGAGGTATGGTGGCTGAGATTGTGTGAAAAAACTGTGCCTCTTTTTTAAATTGTAGGTTGAAATCCTTCCATCTCTTCAGAAGCCCAAGAAGATTACTTTAAAAGGTTCAGATGGGAAATCTTATATCATGATGTGTAAGCCAAAAGATGATCTTAGAAAAGACTGCCGACTCATGGAATTCAACTCCCTCATAAATAAGGTTAAATTCTAAATATTTTTTTGAATGTGTGGCAAGCTTGCTGCTGACAATGCACTGTTTTCTTAGTTTCAGAGTTATCACTGAGCATATTTGTGTATAATGATTAACCAGAACTGATTTACCCAAACATGCTTGCTTGTAGTTCCTCTTACTATCTGTCCCATTCTAAACAATACAGGATTATAAATCAATGACTTATTTACTGTTAAATATATTGCCTATAACCCCTTTCTGGTTTTGATTCACAATTATTTAGTATATTGAGTAATGATCTACTTTCTAAAATATATGATATAATCTGTCTTATGAAAAGCTGATTTTGAATATAAATCTCAGCAAAACTTTCTAATAGTATAGTGGTACTCATGGAAATACATGTTTAAAATCTAATCAGATATGCAAAGCTTTTTATATGCTTAAAAGGAATCTAGATTATTTGTCTTTCTATATAAAGACATTTTGGTTCTTGTTTGCTAAATTTTGAATAAATAGGAACCGTGTTTTTGTTTTAAAAGAGATTCAATACTTTTGTCAAAATTACTATTTTCTGTTAAAATTATTTTTGTAATTTTGTTTAAAAATTTTAAGTGCTTAGGTGGTCATGGTAGCAAAAATATTGTACAGTATATAAACTTCTAATAATATTGGATTGTGTGCAACTTTAATTCCCTGAATCTTCTGTAAGGGATCTTTTTGGGGGAAAATTAAGCAATTGATGTTTGTGTAAGACTATATATGTGTGTTTGTATGTGTGTGTACGTATGTACATATACACCCTTTCTAAAAATACAAACCTTTAATTTGGGATTACAAGAAACAGAGAAATGAATTGAAATGAAA